GATGATTCAGGTCAATTTGCATTTTTTTTATGGAAATTTAAAATTTTAAGCATTTAATGAAGGTGCCAAATCACTGACGATGCTCAACTGCTGATACTTGGTTAAGATATTAGCCATTCGGGCACAGGTCGAAGAATTGGTTGTAGATGAAGAAAGTTTAGCTTACCTTGGGGAGATGGGTCAGACAACATCTTTAAGGTACAGTAAAATAGTTTTTGGTGGGATACAGTTGAATTCTTCACATTCCACCAAAGCAATTTTGGCGAAAGTACTCTGATTGCAAGCAATTTAGTATAAAAGGCTTAATAGTAATCACTTTAATGGTTCTATACTCTTAAAAGTTTTAAGTGCTTCCCTAATAATTACTTTCAAAATGCTTATTGAATTTTTAAAGGGACTTCCAAATCACTCAATCATAATGATTTTGAGTGGGAAGTACTTTGGAGCTGACAAAAGTGATATGAGTCAAGCCAAAAACACTCTCAAACATACCTAACAATACTAAAATCTTTTGGTGGTTGTTTCATAGACACGCAGTTCAATTGCTATCGCCTGCTAGCGTCGTGGCAAAAATGAATGGTCGAGAAAGCATATGCAAGGTATTTATAAAGTTGGCATGGCAAACTTGTATATCTTTAATTGAATGTGGCACTTCATTGGAGCACCGTTCATCGGCTCTATGTTCTGATTGTTTTTCTCATTCGCAGGGAGATCTCGAAGAAGTATGCGCACTCTATCTAGATGCAAAGTCTTCAGCAAGGCTTCTTCAAGAGCATCAAGAAAAATACATTTCTTGATTTGTTTCCAAGTGTGGCATTTCAAATTCCTCCCGAGGCAAATCATTATCTCCAAGGTAATTTTTCATTTCTCACCGCAAGAGGGATAAAGATTATTCAGTGGTAAATTTTTGTTATCCGCAAATCTTAATTGTAAGATTTTTACTAATGAAGAGATTACTTAGTAATTTAATGTCTATATTCGAAGTAAAAATTCTCTAGTGTAGATGCACGTTCTCTCATATTGGATTGATTTGTAAAATCTTGAAACTACCACCTGAAGTGAAAATTTTCATTATGCTTGCAATTTCATTTCTCAACTCTATTAACCAAACATTCATAAGATTAGCACAAGATTAGAGTTGGTAGTTAGCATGATCTATTTGGTGACTATAAGTGGAATAGTGAGGTGAAATCCTTGTTTAGGCCTTAATCTCTTAATTAGATAACTGATAACTCACCAGTTGACTGAGTAGTAGTTGGTGGAAGTCTGAAGGATATAGGCTGACGTAGCTGTCTTGTTGGAGGATTTGGGTAACTTGAAGTTACAAAGTTCTTAGTTCATGTTTCGTATCGGCTAATGATTTGTATCCGTAGTTTTATTTTTGGTTGAATTATAAGTTTGGTACCTAATTTTTTTAGGTTGCGTCTAATAGGTTCTTGATCTTTTAAGAAGTGTTTATTATGTCGTTCTTAAACATAACTTTTAATATTGTGTTTGATAAATCTTTAAACTTTAAAGTGTCAATTGGGTCTTAGAAGTTTCAATTTTGTGTCGGGTAGATATATGACTTATTAGACGTTTTTTAAATATCAAGAATCTATTAGATACAAAATTGAAAGGCTTGAAATTTTCAAAAGTTCAAAGTACTGTTGAATACAATATGGAAGGTTAGAAATTTATTATACACTTTTTAAAATTTAAAGAGATACAACTAAAGATTAAATTTGTAATTTCAGTCTTATTTTATTTTATTTTATATTGATGTTACAATACTTTTATATACCCATGCTCTCTCTATATTTTAACTAACATTTTAACTAACATAAGTATAGTTCAAGAGTTCTTAAATGCTATTCTTGAGATTGGAGGTTCAATTTTCTATACCTCATATATTAGACACAATTATCCTAAAGTGCTATCGATTTTGGGTTATTAAAAAAAAAGAATATATACATATATATATGAGGCATGAGATGTAATACACTTTGGCTAAGTGTTTGGTCAATCAAAACTTAGCGATTGGTTCTGTTCCTCCCCACAATTTTTGGACCAACTAATAGGAACTAAATATAATCAAATTGATTCGGTTCGATGCAAGTTGGTACAGTTATTTTTTTGTGGTGAAAAACATGTGAGTGAGAGTAAGGATTATTAGGGAGGGCTACGGTTTTTAGTGGCTTATTTTGCATCACGAAGAATAGAGGGTAATATGCAGAGTGGACCGAAGAAGAAACGAGAAGGGCAATTACTTAAGATGGGTTCTTCTTAGTTTCTCATAATTCAAAACTACATTAAATTTGCAAGGTAAGTCAATTTTTACCTCAGACTTTGAATTGATCAAATTGGACACTAGACATAGATAAGTGTTGTATTTTTTTTAACTAACCCATTAATTCAACAAAAAGCAACGTAAAATTGATCCAATTTTTACCGAGTTCTAAGTAAAATTTGATTTTCTTTGAAAAGAAATCAATTTTTACGTTAAGTGAATTACAAATATTATAACACTAAAATAAAAATCATCCCGTGCGAAATACACTTGAAAATATTATAACATTAATTAAAAGAAAAATGAAGTAAAAAAAACAAGTCATTGGACTTTTTCTTTAACTCAACAAGAAATATGAAGTTTAGGATTGAACCTTTGATCTTTTGTAAAGGTAAATAATATGTTATGGGTAATGTAATTATATTTTTTATAAAGTAAAAAAGTACCATTTTTGTTTAAGTTTACTTCTATAAAAGAACTTAATTTATATAGAGGAAAATGCCCTAAATTTTATTGTTTTGTTAAAAAGTGGTAGTTTCCAATTTTCTCCACACATTTACTTAAATAAATAAATAAAAGGAAAAAGTGGAGGGTAAGATGATGAATCCGGAAGTTGCAGGTGATCTGGGCCGCGTTCTACATTTTATTGGGCCGAAGAACGACAGGGATTGAATCGGGCTCAAAGCCTTCGCTGAAGCCCAATTAAAAAGTTGATAAAAAGAAAGAAAAATTAAAAAGTTGGAGATGCGGGGTATCGATCCCCGTACCTCTCGCATGCTAAGCGAGCGCTCTACCATCTGAGCTACATCCCCTTGCTGTTAATAAATCTTTTTTTTTTTAAGTATAATTTCTTTGCATAAGTAAATCTTATTATTTTTAATAGTTTAGTTTAATAAATAATTTTAGTAGTTTTTCGTTTCAAAATAATAGCAATCTTAGTAGTTATATTTTTTTTTCTGGAAAATGACAATTTAATTTTGAACTTGTTTTGAGAGTGAACGAGAGCAAATGAGGAGAGAGAACAGTAACGGCTAGTCGATGCTATAGAGATAAGTAACTATTTCTTTTAGTAGGTGGGTCACCCGTACTTATAATAGAACATATAACACTTATGCGCTTACTTCCCTCGGCCAACATAGACCGAAGTCTAGACCATTTGTTGTAGAATCGCACGACGCACCTACTAAAGGAAACACTATCTCTATCTTATTGTTTACATATGAATAAAGTTGCAACATTGCATCATACTAAGAAGGAGAATCTCTTCTCCATCAAACAATATATTATAATCCTCTATAATCTATATATTGGATGAGGAGAGAAGAAAATGATTTTTAAATATAGATAAATATAGAGAGAATAATGAGATTTTTTTAGTCTATATATATAAGTGCGGCGGGACCAAAGTGACTATAGTTCGGTAATAATTGATATATATCTTCAATGAAGTAGTGAGTTCGATCATCCACTCCCACAAAATATACTAAAAAAAAGCGAGGCGAGATGGAGAACGGGGACGGAGAATGTATTCTTGGTCCTCATCCCTTAGTGATTGAGAAAGAACAACTTTTACCATCTTCACTCCATTCCGAAGATTCCCTGCCCTGTCAGCCTCATCATCGGGCCCGAGGCCTAAAGGCCGGTCCAGGCCCAGCCCAAACCCGATCCAAGCTCGATCCAAGGTCAACGTTTGATCGGCCCGGCCCAATCCAACCCTTCTATTAATTGGAGTGGATATGGATATTCATTTTTTAATTTGGGTCAGCCCGTTTGAGCCGTATTTGGATTGGCCCGTAGGGCCGGCCCAAAAACCCAATCCAATATTTATATTATATAATATTAATATATTTTTTATTATTTATTTATTATAAAAAATAAATTAGATATGATAGGCTAACATGTAGGATGTTTTGTTTCCCCTCTTAAATAGGTACATATTACGAAGAGACTACCACTTCCCAATATCTCATTTAAATAATTGTTTTGAAACATATTAGGAGGAAACTCTCCAACTTCCCAAATTCAAAATTTAAAATTATTTTAAACATATATAGTATTTAGGTTGTAATTTTTAAAATTTTTTAATATAAAATTTTCTTATAAATATCAACCTTATTTTCTTTTTCTTCACTCAAATTTTAATTCTCAATTTCAAATTATCTCGAATTTCAATTTAGAGGGCTTAAATTTTCAATTTCTCTCGTAAAAAGATATAAATTTAATTTTTAAAAATAAAAAATATAATTTTTAAAAATAAGACAACTTAAATTTTTAAAAATAAGACAACTTAAATTTATAAAATATGACATAATAAAATTTATTAGTAAGATTATAAAAATAACAAAAAAAATGTACCAAAAATTATATAAAAAGATATATTCTAGAATTTAAAAATAAAAAACTTAGTTTATAAATTATTTAAATCTTAAAATTTAATAATTAAAAATATATTAATATAGGGGCCGATTCAACTTTGACTTTGGCTCATCAACTTAGGCCCATGGATTGGACTATGAGCCTAGGTTTGAGTGGTTGGGCCGGGCTAGTCCGACCCAAACAATACTTGAGGTCCGTAGGACTTGGGCCTGAGCCAAGCTTGGACGATTATTTCTTTGGGTTGGACCGAGCTGACCAACCCAATGATGAGAATGACTGCCCTGTATAATTTTCAAATTTCAAATAACTTATCTAAAAATTAAAATCATGAACGTTTGCATAATTGACATATACGTTGGATTTAGTTAGGTCTCCTAGAGATTCTAAATTTCGTCTCCTAAAAAAAAATAATAATAATAATAGGGGTTCCTCCTTGTCTCTCCCTGGCGTGTTTCCTCCGGCGACCAAACCACGACCGGCGGCAGTGAACCCCGGCAATAGACCGACGGCGAGCCATCCACGAGTAACCAAACCCCTGCTCCGACGATTTCGGATGCGCAACTCTCCTCCCGACGCCCAGTGATTTAGGCGGTAAGTTTTCGTTTTATCAAATATTTTAGGGTCTACTAGATGGATTCAATCTAGAATTCGGTTCAATTAGTTGTGAAAACCTTGTTTCATTTTTACGCTTCATGCTGCCGCCTTCTCATTCTCCTTTAACATGTTCATGGGCTTAGCCGTTGAAGAGCTTATTACGGTGAAAAGTGTAGCATATCTTTCATTTTCCAGATTTAATTGTTTTATTATGGTATTGAAATTGAAATATTGACTTCTTGCCAGTAATTATAATCAAAGTGTTGTACAAGAGAATTATTCACAATCACACTGAATATCGACATCTGAATATCAGACAGAAATTTTGGTTTTGAAAATAACTTGACTACTTGTATAGTTGTATGTACACTAGTATTTCTACGGTTCGTTCATATCATTACAATTAATGTTTAAAAGATTTTTCAAAAAATATTTTTAATGAGGAATTTCCCTTAGGTATTCCGTCCCAATCCTCACTCCGATATAAAATTTGGGGGATGGTGGTGGGATGAGAACTTTCTCATCATTCAGGGACAAGGAACATAGATTGGCTAAGATATTTTTTTTCCTGTGTTACTGTTATCAATCTTATCTCCTCTCAAATCGTCAATTCTTCTCTATATTCTCGACATTTATGTTTCCTACAAGTGTTTCTAAAGTCGAATCTTTAGAAAGGTGAGGGTTATCTGCTGTATATTTGCTTCACAATTCTACCTTGGTTGCTTATTTGAATCACCATTTAAATATGTGTAATTTCGTTCGTTTTTGTTGAATTATAAGCTCAAATTGGTTGATTATGATTTCTTCTGGCTGGACCATATTTCATGCAACTCATCCAACCAATTTAAATAAATAAGACTTTTTAGGTTTTGTTCTCAAACATTTCTAATATCGCTGATTTAGGTGGCTTTCTGAAAGTGGAAATCTTATTGTTGGATCAGTTAATGTCTTGAGCTCTAGGAATGGACCCCAAGCACACAGGAGAGATTTTAAAGTAAGTTCTTTTTGTAGAACTTAGTTTTGTTTTAATCCCTTTAGTGTCTTTGGAATAAAGGATATTGATCATTGACTTCTGAAATTGTTGTGTAGACATTTGGAGAAGCAGGATGAGGTTCTGATGGATGCTTATAGATCAATGTCCCATGAATTGCATAAGCTTCAGGTTTTATTTCTTTTGCTCTGGCTCTCTTGTTTATTTTATGAATTTGCATTAGTTATTTGGTATTATTATTATTTTTTAATCTGAATTCATTCTAATGCAAATGTTTGAGCTGTACTAGCACATCTTTCTAAAGTTTTACCTTAAAAATTTTAGTAGAAGTCTGACAAATTAAATCATAAATATGATTCTATACCCTTGTGACCTTTCTTTATGTATTTACCTGATTGGCATACATGGACATCCCATTCGATTAGAGTTTTTATTTCATTTGTCTTCCACTAAAATTTAAAGCTCTTAAGCCTCCAGAGCTCATGATTTTTTTATTCTTGAATGTAGTTCTGTTAAAAACTACAAGTTAAGTTTTGTTTCAGATTTTTTAGTATAATACTACCAGTATTTCATTAATTTGCTTTGACTGATAATTTTGTACTAGATAATGATTATGCAACTTAGTACTTCTATTGAAAAAGAGTGGGAGATTGAGGTTGTCACACACTATTTCAGTGTGCTTAGTTTCAAATGTAGTCAATTAATATTGCAAGGAGATGGTTTAGCCGCTTTCTAGGCTTAACACTTCTGTTTGGGCTTTGGGTGCTATGGAGTTTTGTTCTTATCATTTAGGTCTTATTATTTTGAATTGGAGTTCCTTTTTGTATAGTTAGGTTTGGGGCTCCTTTTGTAGGCTGTTTTATTCATGCCCTTTTTGTCTTTGTTCTCTTTTATCTTCTCTCAATGAAAGCTTGGTTTATTATATATAAAAAAAAAAAAAATTACCATTGCAAGATGAATAGTTCTATTTTTGGATCACTAGAGTAATGTCGTCATTTGTATTACTACCTTGTTATTGCAAGCGTTGAAAAAGGAAGAGATGCTAGGATTCACTTAAACAGAAGAGCCTCCATTTTAATGCAGTTGAAAATTTGAAACCAAAGTAATGTTGTTTTGTGGTGTTAGTTGTAATATTGGCTCTTGACTTGAAAGTCCTTTTTGATAGGAGTTCTAGAATTTTTTGTTATTCTTTGTAGGTTGTTGGTTCTATTGCTAGTGCCTGAGAAACTGAAGTTCTATTATATTCAGGTTGAAGAAGAAATGCTCATGCGCAAGTTTTATGAAATAATGTCAGCTCGTGGTCTAGCCAAAAAGGTAGTAGTATTCAAATTTCATAAAATTGTTCTTTGGTTGGTTGGTCTTTTGATATGGTCAAAGAGCACAAATTCTTAATCAATCTGATTTAATTCTGATTTACCTTGAAAACCGGAATAAATGGCTTGAGTGAAGCTAATTAGATCAGGTACCTTTGGTAGTTAGGCGGTGGAGAAGTAGTGCAAGCTTCCCAGTAACTCTACCTTTAACTAAACTAGGTCTCTAATAAGTAATAACTGCCAGACATATAACCATCATGGGGTGGTCAATAAGGGCAAATATAAATAGTAGTGGATTTAGAAGGAATAAATTCTAACCATGGTGGTCCTACCTAGGATTTGATATCTAGACAATTGTCTCGTGAGAATAGTCGAGATGCGCACAAACTTGTCTAGGCACTTGCAGATATAAAAAAAGGAAACATGCTAATTAATTATCAGCAACCACAATGGATATAGTGCAACAGTATCAAACATTAAGCACAATTAGGACAATAGATTAACAGCCCATGAGAACCAGTCACCCTAACGAGGTTTAAAGTCATCTCAAGTTTAAGCATCCACAAGAAACTATCTAGAGGGTAGAAGAGACATGTGTATCATTCCCAATAAATGTCAAGTTGACGAGACATATGTTAGGCGGTATTTTATTTAAAGAGGGAACGCAAAGAAACTGTGGGTTTTTTTTTTTTTTTGAGAAACAAAAATTTCATTGATGGTATGAAATATACAAAACGCCATATAGGCAATTACTTGTAATAAGATCATTTAGAGAATAGCTATTGAAGGGGTAGAAACATTTACACCAACCAAGGGCTAGAAAAATAACTCATTGATACTGTAAAATTGGTTTAACCATCATAAATTGGTTTAACTGTGGGTTAACTCTGCTGTATTTCAAAATTTAAGTACAAATGTTCTAGGCGTTGTTCCAATATACTAAGCTAGTATATTGTCAAAATGAATGACTATAAACTACCTAGAAATGATTCCGATTCTTGGTTCTCAACCTCGTGAATGTGCTGGTAGTATCATTTAATTAGAAGCGCATAACTGACAACTCAAGAGTCCTTGATTGTATACACGAACTTATATTCCTCACATTCAACTATCGAAATGTTTGACATCCAATTTTTTAAGCTTTTCTTTTTCCTTCCAATATTATGTTACAAATGAGGAGACAAGAGAGGTATTTAACACCTGACTACCTAAGTTATGTTCAGATCAACACGTCTAAAAGTTAATGCTCAGATCAATATTATGTTACCATTTTGTTTCACTTGTTAACTTTGTTAAAAAATGGATGTTGTGCTTTGCAGAGTGAAGATGGTCGTAATAGTTCTGGTAGCCAAAGCAATGCTTAGTTACACCCAATAATGATAGCAAATTGGACTAAAAGGTAAAATTACCATAGCCACTTGTTCAAATCTATTACTTAGATTGTCAAAAATCTTGTATTCTCCCAAGAAACTTAAAAGTTAAGGTATTAGTAAGGATGAAGTTCAAATTCCTACCCTCATATTTTTATAATGCTATATATATCTGTATATAATGCATTGCTTCACTTCCTAAATAATTCCTCCCCTAAAAATSAGATGATGAATTTTTTCTTTTTCTTTTTTTTTTGAAATTTACATAGTAGATGTCGAATCCGAGTGAATATCATTCTCCTTCTTGTCTCTGAGCCCTTTTTTTTGGATGGAAGCTCGATTACTAGGTTCGATTGAAGAGATTAGAAGAAAGATCTCGTGACTTATCAATGTATGAGACTTCATTTACTGCATACTTGGTTAGAAAAGAAGAATGGAATTTTCAACCACAAAGAAATCTTTTAGCTTTTATTGGTACTCTTGAATACTTGCTTTTATGCGCGTGTTTATAAATTTCTATCATCTTCTTCTGTAAATGTTTAGTGTGAAAGTTCACTTTTTTTTGTATTGTGAATAATGCTTAATAATTTTAGCTATACTCTGTTTTAATTGTTTTTCTAATTTATTGTACATTGATATATGATATTGATATTGATATCTATTTAATTTTTTGTGAAAAGAACAAAAATGAACGGAAGAAATTAAAAGGAGTTTAGAATATTTGAGAAAAGAAATTGAGTTTGTTCCTTCTTACATTTTATTATATATTTAGAGATAGTTAACCACCACGGTTGCTGTTTAGTACGATTAATGAAAAAAGAAAAACAATGAATTTAGAGGAATCAGTTCAATAGTAGTTTGATTATGTTTTATTAATCATTGTAGAAAAATTGCGATATAAAATTTACTATATGAAAGTATATGCGGGCAGAAAAAGTATTTAATATAAAAATGACGGGATCTGTTGATACATTGAGAATGAAAATCAGAGTTATATTTTTTGTTTTTAGTGTTTTCAAATATGTGTTGAGTAGTACATTTGGTAATTGAATCCCAATTTAAAAAATTGTTCAATGTAATATATTTGTAAACTAGAAGTAGTTGCAAATTAAATTTTAGTTTAATCTAAATTTATATTAATTAATTTATTAATATTTTGTTATGAATTTTGTATAATTGTTATTTTACAAGGTTATATAATTTATAATATATTATATTTTACATGTTTTAATTTTAAACAAACATAAAATGATTTTATAATATGAAGTAATATATTTATTAAAGTTTTTATCATTTTTAATGTAATTCTGCATCTTTAAAATTTCAAATTCTAAATCTGAAAACACTGGAAACATAAAAAAAATCGTTTTCAGAATTTCTACCGTTTGAATCATAGAATTAGAAAACAGTGACCCTTAATTTTTTACGAAATACTTCAAATGTTTCAACTCACGAAATTAGAGTTATTCAAATAAGATGATCCAACCTTCTTATATCACATCAGCCTTCTTGTTTAGATCTACGTCCGATTAGATGTCACATGAATGAATTGGAAAAACAAATAAAAAAAAACTCGATTAGAAGTTAGGATATAAAAATAAGTTTTTGAAAACCCTCATTCAGATGAGTATCTCTAATATTTCAATATTTTTAAATTTAATCTCTAATGTTCTAAAAGTCTCAATTTTATCTCGTGTATTAAAAATTTCTCAATAAACTCGTTAAAATCACTAAATACTAAAAGAATGATGATATGCAAATTTAAAATTAATAATTTTTATGATTTATCGTTGGTATACCAATATTTTAATGAGTTAATTATCTATAATAATGAGCAATTTCGGATCAAGTAAGCTATCACATACTAAGTCATGAAATAATTGAATTTTTAATTTGAAATTTTATGGGCAAGTACTATGTCTATTCACCAAATTAGAATATATAGTAATTTTAACCAATTTTAACATTAATTTTAATGTTTAGTAACCATAAGGACATAATTAAGAACATTTTAGTGCATTAAAAAAACATTGAAATTTTTAAAAGATTAAGGACCAAATTGAAAATAATGTTTAGGACCAAAACATGTATTAAGCGTTTTTTTTTTCCTTTGAAAGCGAAAATGCTGACTTAAACATAATAGCCTCAAGAACTATTCCAAAACACAGTTGAAATAGGCATTGGTTGAATAGGAGTAAGTTGTTGATAAACATGAATGGTCACTTTGATGTATATACAAAATTGTAAAATTTGTCATTTTAGTTTTGTTTCCTTTGCTGCAAAATCACATATTCTAAAAATACAAAATTTGTGTTTATTCCTCCTAATGCCTTTCCTTCCACCAAAAGAATGTCCTTCTTCATAGATACAGAAAATAATTTCCAACATGGATTGTTTGCTCTCTGAGAAGATGATTGATTACAGGAGATAATGTGTTTTAATGCCGTTCTCTCCCATGTCTGTCTCTCTGTCTGGAAGTAGTAGAAGAAGAAGAAGGAGAAGAAGAAGAAGAGTTCTACATTTTGAGATTTTAAGACAAATCGTTGCTAGGATCTTCGATCTCTGACAAAGTCGAAAATGAGTGTTTTGCATTTGCAGGACCAAATACCAACTCCAAGCAGAAGGAAGGACCACAAATTGACTTTCCCTTTTTCCCAACTTTGTCCAGATCCTGCAACCTCAGCTGCAATATGCATCGTTCAAACAACCGTGAGCTTAATAAGCGTGAGTTTGGTATGACTTTTGAAGCAGTACGAAGTGTTTTTAGCTTACTAAAAAGTACTGTTAAAATTTTAAGGTTACATGGTTAAAAGGGCTTCTAAAAATTCTTGGGCTATGTTGGAGAATCCTTTTGGGATAGCGAAAAGCACTTCTCAGTCAAAGTCTGACATGATTAAGAAAAAAATAGCAAAGCTAACTTAAATGTTTTATGAGAAAGTAAATGTGGAGTACTTTCAGCTCAAATGCTTAGACCACGCAGCACCTCAAAAGCACTTTTAGAAGTATAGATCAGTAAAATGATGGGCAAAACTACTTATCTTAAAATTATCTCCCAAACATTCTTTCAATAGCACTTTCAAGTACCTTAAAAGTGCTCACCTAAAAGCACTGCTATTAAAAGCCATCTTGAACTCACTCTTAGATACCTAAGAAAAAGCTTCTTCAATGTCATAATCTAAAATAATGCTTCCTTATTATTGTTGCATCCTCACCATTATTTTGATCATTCCAAGAGCAAAACTCATGAATTGGTTCTAAAAGTGTTCCTTAAAATCACTCATCAAACTGATTTTTCTAAACAGACTCGAAAAAGTGTTCAAAACATATAAAATCTGACTAGTGTGTCAAAGTTAGTAACAAAATCCAGTTACTTCCTCCTTACTTTTGCTACCAAGTGGTGAAAACTACAGCCCAWGCCAAGGAAAGATGTTGGCCTTAAGTTGTTTAAAACAGGAATTTAAGCAGTAGCATCGTCCTATTCATCCAATTTCTTCTTCCTCCTAGTATACATGAAATGATGAAATGAACAGGGGATCTGGGTCTATCATTTTGCCTAGTTCTTTTATATGGGGAAAGTTTGCCAAGTCATTAATCATAGTTATTCGGTTAAATTACCATTTTAGCCCTATAATTTGTGTTTGGTGTCAGTTTGGTTCTTACGGTTTTATTTTGATCTCTACGATGATTTTATTAGTTTCAATTTTATCTCTATGATTTGGTTAGATCGTTTAGAACTTCTCCGGATTGACTAAATGACATGTTTTCTTTGGACATTGTCTCATTATCTGATGTACAATTCAAGGGTATATTTCTTGAAGAGAATTAGTCATCCTCTTTACTGAAAACCAGCAGCTATTTAAAGAGGCTGCTGGGCTTACTAACTACACAGTAACTACAATTACAGCAACTAACAACCTAAAAACTTAACTAACTAACCAAACTTATCATAATAACTACATCATTATCCCTCTGCTAAGTTCAGAGAAAACGTGTCCAACTGCACATTGGAACTTCTAAAATTAAATAAATTAATTGAAACCAACCACAAATTATGGGACTAAAATGGTAATTTAATCTAGTTCTTCCTTCTAAATGAGCCTAAAGTGCGAGAATGCTATCACATCATTTAGTGCAAGTTAAAGCCTTCTTAAACAAAAATTTGCACCATGTTCTTTGAGGCAATAGTTTTCAAGCGCAGAGCAAGGGGTTCGAAGGAGTAGAAGATCATAATCAAAGAAGTACCTGTAGCAAGCTGTTTTTAATGAAAGCTGTGTTGAAGCAAGCATAGAAGAGACGCCCTCCAAACATCTTTGCGTAGAATATGATACGCACATCTCCAGTTAGCTGTTCAGCCAAATTACATAACTTTTCAAAAGAAAGGACAGACAAAATTCACAGCAAACAAACAATTTTTAGAGTTTGGGACTATTTTTTAGAACAGTGCATTTAGATGAAACACATTTCTATTGAGATTAAGTCCTTCCTCTTAAAATACTTTAAAGGGCATTTAAGTAATTTTAAAATATGATCGAACATGGTCAAAATTTTGAAATGTAATTTTCACCCTTCAAAAAGTCGAGTCACACTCACCCTTTATATATCAATATGTTCCCTAGGCAATGAAAAAGAAAAGTTAAGCCTGGTGAATTTCTTTCCTCTTTGACGGAGGCCTACTGAATGGTTGCCAAAAGAAATGTTGCTAATCATTTTTTCCTCAAAATTTTATAGTGTACATAATAAATTAAGCATATTCAAAGGACTATTAAAAGTAATGATAGAAATATCCTTCTTGTGACTTACTGGTAGTGGGTTCTCAAAATTGTAGTCAAGGCAGTTTTTATTGTATAGCGCTGAACACTCTGTATCCATTTGAACAACAAGATGGGGTTCTAATTCTGACTCGTTCCCTTCATTATCACCTTCAACAAAAGATAGAAAATAACGAGGACTGTTACTTCTCTCATAACCTCTTTTAAATTGTCTGCAACGATTCCTGGTAAGTTCCATAGATGGACGGTATAACTGAGAAGGAACCTACAAAAATCAACGAATAAGATCTTAATGTACAAAAGAAAGAAGATAAAACAATGACATTAATATAGGAAGATAATCTGAAAAGTTCTAGCCATTAGATTAACAAATTTTGAATGGCAACAAAAGCAATGGAGAAATGAAATAGTGTTAATACAAATTATACCATATTAAGAGATCCTACATTGTCATTTGTTCTGTGTTTGACAATTAACAGTTCATAGATTGGATAGCACAATCAAAATAAAACGAGCTTATGTATGCAGGAGAGTGTGAGAGGTAATTTATACAGATTTAATTACCTCCTGCAATTCTGAGACCACGAAGAAAATTGACTCGGTGTTAACTGTGTCATAAAGACGTATTCTCTGCAACTCTCTCCGACATGGTTCGGGCAAATTCACCTCTGGAGGTCCATTATGAACCCCCTTGGGAAAAGAAAGACACTTTCCCCAGTAGCCCACATACCGTCGTTGGCTTGGAATTGATACCTATTAACATTCGAAGGAAACATCACAGTTTAAGATTTCAAATTAAATTGATTACAAATAAAACATTAGAAAATATATGAAGAAAAAAGAAAATACAAAATAAACTGTTTCATTGACCTAGAGTGTTTTAGAACACAGCTTCCATTCTCCCTTCCCTTACCAAACTTTTAATCTTCACAGTATACCTCAAGAATTGCTTACTTTGTCATTATTTTATTTTACAGATGATTTTCTTTGTCCCCCTTCATTAGATTTAAGTCACAAACACTTCTTTTTTGTTGAGATCATATTAAATGATTAGCTGTGTTCTAGTTCATACCAATAATCCTTGTATTAGATATCATGAAAGGATCTGGCATTTAAGCTCACAAATGAGAAAAATGTTGAAAATGTAATAAAATCAAACTTGTTCTAGTGCAATAACTTGACTTTTTGGGTCCAATGGTAATTTAGCACATACCAAGATCAATGTTTTTCCCCTCTCTGTCTACAATTGCTAAATTTAGATTGTAGTCCAGTATTAGTAAAAAATGAGAGCTAATCTTTCAAACCAGAGTCGTATCTTACAAAATTCAACCATCTAATAATGTGACGCTACCATTTAATTCTTGTACCTCACACAACTTACCCCTTCATTATTGGTTGTCCGCCTCTGAGCATACAACTGAAGTGCATCCTCCACTGACGTGCCACAGTAAACTAAGTAGGCACATACCATCAATCCCGTTCGACCTTTTCCAGCCTGAAACATAGTTACAAATAAGTAGGAACTAAAAGGAGTTAGAATAAAAGTATGGTATAGACATGAAAATATTTTTCTTAGATTTCATGTTCCAGAGTTTTTCTTAAAATTTAAACAACAGTCATGCTCTTCCCTTGGGCCTTTTATCAATAGTTTGGTTGCTGTCTGATAGGCTTTCAATCATAACACCAAATACTAAAGGAATTATACCTGATGACCCTTGCTAAAAGTAGGAATCAGTGTAACTATTTTATTGTTGCAAAAGAAATGAACCCTATAAACAATAACCATTTTTAAGCACCGGAAGAAATCAAAACAAAAATAACAACAATAAAAGGACCTTTCAGCCAGAAACTGAGAGGATAGGCTTGTTATCTTTGATTTCATTTAGTGGTAGAATTTGATTACCATAAACCCAATCCTTCTGATAAAGGGAAAAACTAGGCCGAACTGTTACATGTCTCATAATGCTGCTCAGTTTGTTTGCATTGAGCAAAGACATCTACATCTTCTTGCATGCATAAAAACAAATTTTTTCCTGGAACTATTTCAACTGACAAAATATTTTGTTCATACTAGGAACACTAAATTACCATGCAATATACAACATCGAAAGGGTTGGGGGAACCCTGTAGAGCAACCATTTTAGACTAGTCTAGGAGGGCACAATTACCATGCAATGTACGACAGCAATATTCTTTGGGTGGGACGAGAGCCATGAAGAAACATTTTCACAGAAAAGTTTGATCATCTCTAGATGTGGGACATGATTATCATCAAAAGGAAATGACTCCACACGGCCATGAAAATGTGTTGGATCATATGATTCTTCAATACAGAGATTATAGATCTGCATTGTCCGAAAAGAAACATCAGCACATGAGCCAAGTATATTATCATAATGATATAAGTTTCTGGTTTTGGTCAGTTGCCTTGCAAAAGGGTTATGCATAGAAGTATCAACTTCTAAGAGGAAGCAAAATAAACTGAATCAAGAACCCCAATACATCTAGACTATAGGAAGATAAAGTGAAAAGATATGGAAGTTCTTATCATTTATATAATTAAGCAGTCAAAAAGATACCTTGTAATGTCCTTGATGCCTCATGTCCAATACGGACTTAACCTGCCATAGCGGATTACGATACATTGCACGCATACGTTCTGCAGGGAACGACATCGCCAATACATGATCTGTGATGTATGACATGTCAAGATCATAACCCGCAACAAGCATGCGCCTCCTTTTCTTGGATACCAAGTTACGGATGTAAAAGCTTTTTGATAGATAATTTATGAGGTGGTGTTGCAGACTTAGGTGGTCCATCTTCCCCTGACTCGGCTTTGAAAATTTAAACCCCATTTGACCACTATGGCAGGCTCCTATTTTGGCTACCTATCAAGAACCGCAATTAGTCCAAGACAGCATACATGCATCAATTGCTACTTCTAGAACCATCTTCTTGGATAAAACACAGAACTATTTTTATTTTCAATTTTTTAAGCCTCACTAATGGCTCGTGAAGTCAAATTTACAGGTTCTACAGTCAAAACTGACGAATTGAACTACTGCACTTAGCTTCTGGACGAGAAAGGATAACGTGTGGAGGATGGCCATTTTTTTAACATTGTCAGTAATTAATTGCTCAGGACAAACACTCAAATTGTGGAACAAAACTCGGAAAAGGGATTTATCTTCCTAACAATATTTGAACCATTTCCTCAACTTCTGCAATTTTTAGTGAGCGATTCGACAACATTACAAATCGTAGCAAAACAGAGTAAAAAGAAGAGGAGAAATCAGAAGAACGGAAATCGAAAAAATGATAAATACAAGTTAATTACCTGCAACGGTCGATCATAAGGTCGTCAGACGAAAACGAAGAGCAGACAGTTCTAGGGTATCCAATTCCGCGGGGTGAAAGTAGTTGGACAATCAGAGATTTGGAATACCCTAGAAAAGCTTCAGAACAAATTGAGGGTGGAATTCAAGGTGGCCAGGAGGTGGAGATGGCGTCCATTAGCTCAAAAATGGAGAGCGGGAGGGTAAAATTAAGAATGGATTGGAAAAGAAGGATTTGTAAGGGAGGAGTTGAGGGAGTTTTAGGGCGCAATTTTCTCAGCCCCAAATTTGGAGGAAAAATGGCCGCCATTATAGGGCAAGAACAAAAAAACTTCGATGATTTTGGTTATGGGAACGTGCAATATTTACCTCTGCCAGGAAACTTCCAATTCCATGACCGTTGGTTCGTTGGTACTGGCGGGGAGCAACAACTTCTGCCACCTTCCCAATATAATTTTAGGATTAAAAAATATTTTTGGTCTCTCTATTTTAACTAAAGTAACAATTTACTCCTCAAACTTTAGTATGTAACGATTTAGTCCATATATTAGTAACAATTTAGTCCTTCAACTTTAATATGTAATAATTTAGTCATTGTAATTTATAGTTGGTAACGATTTAGTTCTTATCGTGAAATTTTTTTGTTAAATTTCTTATATATATAGATTGACAAACTAAAGAGGGATCAAATATATTTATAATTACAAAGATTGAATTGTTATACGATAAAATTTGACACTTAATTTTAATAATTTTTTTACAATAGGGACTAAATTGTTACAAATTTTAAATGACAGGGACTAAATCGTTACAAGTTGAAATTTAAGGACTAAATTGTTACTTTAGTGAAAGTATAGAGACTAATTGTTACAAATTAAAAATCATGGATTAAATTGTTACTTTAGTGAGAGTATAGGGACAAATATGTTTTTTAACCTAATTTTAGCTTTTATTTTTACCCTTTTTTTTCTTTTAATTTTATTTTGTATTTTTAAAATATTTATTTTGGTCCTCAAGTTTCACATATTTATTTTGATTTTTGTATTATTAATTTTTATTCATTCTAATCTTTGTACCTCTAAAATGTGTCCGTTTTAATCTACGTACTTTTAAAAAGTGATCAATTTAATATTTGTTTGCAGAATTTTATACATAATTTTATAATTATAATTCAAGAAATTTAGTGAGATTAAAGTGAAAATAAATTGGCAAAAGAGTCATTTGTTTTTTAAAGTACGATGATCGAAACGGACGTCGAAAGTACAAAAACTAAAATCAACAAAAGTTGAAAGTATAATAACTAAAATAGACGTTTTGAAAGTATAAGCATTAAAATGAACCAAAGCTAAGGACCAAAATAATATTTAAACCTATAATTGAATACATTTTAGATGTCTTTCCACTAAAATTTTAAATTTCGATGCGGATGAATGTCGAGGTATCAATTTTATGAAAATCTTGATTCAAATATTGACAAAATATGTTGTTGATGAACATATTTGGAAAAATTAAATAATAATATTTAGAATAACAAAATATCATTTCACCATTTTTAAAGTAAGATAACAAATTTAAATCTTATTTTAGTTTTTGGGCTTTCAAGATTTGAGTTATTTATTTTGTTTTTCTAACTTTTAAAATTGTCAAATTTAATTAGTTAACTTTTAAAAAATAGCATTTGGTCCCTTTTTCTTAGTACAATATGTGGAGAAGTTTCGAACTAACAACTTCACGATTGGAAGTAGATGTCAATTATCTCCGAATTATGCTCGATTGTGCTATTATTTTGTCATCTAATATGCTCACTTAATGTTTCTGATCCAACCTACTTGACTTCAATAATACATGATGTTATCTGTTTGTTAGAAATAAAAAAGATAATGACAAAGATGAATTATATTTTAAGAGCGAAGTAAAATAGATATTTTGAAAGTTCAATGACCAAAATGATTGTTTTTTTAAATTGAGGATCTATGAGATTTAAACTTTAATTTTACATAAAAAAAAAAAAGAAAGAGTGATTATGTCTCTTGTGCACTGTGGCAACGCATGTGGTACAATGGTCACAACAAAAAAATTTGATTTTTTTTTATAGTTTATTCACAATAACTATGATAATAATTGTGGCATAGAAAATGTCAAATTAAATTTATTGGAAACAATGTTACCCGTGGATTAAAATTCAAAATTCCCTATATATATATATTTTTAATTGAACAAATAACTATTTGTTTTTAGTAATTACTTCTAAGAGTTGGTTTGTCAATGTTTATTATTTTTCAAAATTACCATAGTTTAGTAGTAAAGAAATTTCTTTGTTTTGTAATTTATTCTTGGGAAAATATTAAAAATTTAAAACTTAAAAACCTATTTTTGTTTTTGGAATTTAGTTTATATTTAGGAAGTGCTTTGGGGAAAAAAACAAAGTCCTGAAAAAATCATTTTAAAATTTAGGTAATTTTTTTTTTTTTAGAAATAAGTATATGTGTTTCCAAATCCGTTTTTCTTATTTGAATACTCCCTCTCCATAGAGAATATATAACTCACAGGTCACAAATAAGATCGATGAAAATTTCGAGAAAATTTTAGAAATCACAAAAATTAATAGAAATTATTTAAACTAGTAGGTGAGAGTTTAATTGTAGCTTTAACTATACCATAATTGAAATTTTTTATCATCTTATCTATTGATACCATAAATTAATTTCTAATTTGGCGAAGGGTCAAATTAAAAAAAAAAACGTTGTTATCAATTAGTGGATAAGGACCTCATGTTAGATAATCAAGTTCTTCAAGATGTTTTTTTCTAGTTTTTTTTTTAAGACTCGATAAGTTCCTCTCATTCTATAGGCTCAAATCCTAACCAGGCTAATTTTAGTTTAATTCTCTTGAAGCAAGAAATAGATACGTGGCTTTAAAGTTTTAGGTTTTAGTTTTTCCAACACAAAATAGTTGTACATATGTGAGAGATGCCCGTAGAAGGAAGATAATTTTAGAAATTGTTAAAAATTGTTAAAAATTACTAGATTTGACAAACAAATTGTTTAATTTAAACTAATATATACTAATAAAATAAAAATAAAATAACGGGAACKAAAAAGAAGTGGCTTTAAACATGCGAAAGTAGGAATCTGAAAAACCGATCCAAACGACTGAAATTGATGTAACATACAAAATTTCGTCCAATCCCTTGTATAACAATAAACTCCTCGGGTCCAACAAAAGTATTTCAACCCTCTTACTCTCAATAGATTTCTTACCTTAACCATCAAATCTTCTTGTACGTATATGTCATCAGAGTTACACTTGAAATGACTCTTTTCACTTTTGAAATTCCAATTCGTAAATCTTTTTGACACTTTTATGAGTTTTCTTTCGACGATTCTCTACGTTCATTTAATCTGATAAACAAGACAAAGCAATGTGCGATTTTTTTTTCCTTATTTTATAATATAAATATAAAATAGTAGCCTTCACCTTTACAATTTATCTAACGGTCTTCGAACAAAATTTAATAGACAACATAAATTGAACCATTTGCTAACATGAGATTAGCTTARCAGTTAAGACACATTCTTCTTTCCCATGGAGATGGGAGGTTCAATCCTCCACCCCTGTAATAAAAAAATTGTTACTTACAATTTATGATTTTAATGGAAGAAATTATTAGTTTAAAGTTTGAATGAGGGTATAAATCAAAGTTGTAAATATTAATGTTGATGGAATATCAAAGTCTCGATTTTATGAAAATATCAACGCCGATAAATATTTCCAAAAAAATTAAAAAAATAAGTAATCCATGACAAATATTTAAATAAACGGAGAAATATTTCACCATTTTAAAATAAGTTAAAATTAATAACATCAATATTAGTGATATATATTTTTATATTTAGTCAAATTTTTTGTAATATTACGTAAATATAAATTCACCTTCATCTCGATATCAAATTCTTATTCTTGAAACGTAGAAACGTTGTTGACAAAAATTTAACACGGAAATTGGCCCCATCACGTGCAAGTGTGGGTGGCATTGGAGAGCAAGATCCAATTCCACATGGATGAATGATGAGCAGCAAACGGTGGTCCACAACTACACACCCGAAATTTATTTCCTATTTGAACCCTTCTCCACTCTTCAGCTCAAAATAT